AATTAGAAACCACAAAATCTAATGTTTGTTTTTAATGACTCTGTTTCATTACTTACTTGTTCTAAAGTATCCTCCAACCCCATCTTTTTATTTAGAGCTTTATTAATTTCTTCTTCAGTTTGGTTTAAGAGTTCCTTGAGTGGTACCTATAAAATACATGGGAACATGGATTACATATGACATATGTAATTACAGTTCTCTCATGAGGCAACTTTTGGAGAAAAAAAAAGTACAGCCATGGCATTTTTAATCTAAATTAAATACACCATCGATAAGAAAATAAAACTAATTGTAGTGCAACTTCTCTAACTATGGAGTATAACTTGCTTTTGGTTTGAATACTTGCAAAATTTTAGATTTGCTTCTTTTCTGGAAAGTCACTGCTATTATTTAAACATTTTATAAGTACACTTAGTTTAATGCAATAACTTTCTTGAAAACAATTTATATGTGGGTTTTACTTTTATGCTGTGCTCTCTAGATGAATAATTTTTCTCAATACTTTTCTATTGTTTAGTCGTACAATTATCTGCTTATTTTTCTTCTTCATTTTTTGCTCTTCATTGTAACTCTGTTGTGATAGCAGAAGGCTTGAAACATGGCAAATGTTAATCAGCAGGGACTGGTTGAATTAGCCATACAATGTAGGACTGAGGCTGAAAAAGGAAGGAGGAAGATCTCTACATTGTCAGGGAGAGGGAAATTTCCCCCTGTAGTCTGCTTAAGTTCTTGTGGCAGGACTCAGAACAAAACTGAGGCAAAGGGGACTATCATCACTTTCCCTTCTTGCAGTCAGAGATCTGGGAGGCCGAAATGGTAAGAAATCTTACCTTCTGCCTGCTGTTGTCAGATGTCCCGAGATCTCTCAGCTGAAGTACTCTTGGAAAGGGGGAGGAGGAAGCAGTTTTCCAGCCAGTGATTTCTCCAGGCTGGCTTGCCAAAACTGTCTGGGAGAAGGAAAATTTCCCCCTCCCCAACAACATACTACTGCAGAGAGATAGCAGGGGGAGAGGGCTGATCCACGAATAAAGCAAGATGGGTGTTCAAAATAGGCAAATATTTACCAGTTTATTTCAATAAAAATGGAACTCAGGAACAGCCAGATGGAAGAGATGGACAGGGCAAGGTACTTGGGAAGGGGTGTGGAGAGTCCATATTTTCTAGGTGTACCACTCTCCCTGCATCTCCACATGTTCACCAACTGGAAGCTCTTATCTGCTTGCATTTCTCTTATTTATGCTCTTTTCTACTGATTTTTATTTCAAACAGTATTCATTGCTTCCCATTATTATTTTTGTTGTTGTTGAGATGAAACACACTTTAAAATGGTTAAACTGAAATACCTTTTTTTTTGAGTAAAGATAGATTTATTTAGAGAGATACATACTGCAAAGAGTGTAAGCTGTTTCAAAAGGCAAGAGAAAGGCCATGAGGTATAGGGGTTGGGTGCTCAGGTTAAATTAAAAGCAGATACACATAGACAGAGTGTGGGCCATCTCCAGAGAGGAGGGAGCAAGAGAGGTGGCCTAAACTGAAATAATTAGAACGAATTTAACATAAAATTTGCTCCTTTAAGGTGTATAACTCAGGGGCATTTAGTACACTCAAAGTGCACTCTCATTCTAGAACAATTTCAACACTCCCAAAGAAAATCCTGTACACTACTATGTTTTCAGTAGCTCTTTTGGAGTTATGGCTGA